CAGTGTTCTCAGGATTGGGGACCGAGGACCCTTTCTTGTTGCTTCCTCTTCCCATACTTTTTGTTCCTTCCATACAAGCGTATATAGGAGGCTCATTTTCTTTCTTTGTCAGTTACAGTTTGTTTGAATCACGCCGGGTAGGTGTTCCCACCCACTGCAGTGTACTAGGGAGACACAGATCTGGGCAGCCTATGCTGGCCTTGTCCCTCCAGGCCAGTCAACATGCTGAAGGCTTCACTGCATTAGGGTGCACTGCCAGGCGCAGGGACCTGGTTTGGGCTAGCCTACTGGGTCTTAGTCTGCGGCATCACCCAGGTCAATCATTCCCCACCAGTCCTGCTTGAGAGAGGAATATGTAACTGAAATCACTGCAGCGTCCTGTTATGGCTACTCTGCCCTGTCCCAGAATGTCCTCTGTTGGAGTATGATAGTCTATGGAAGGGTCCCTATTCCTCTCACTTACCATAGGTCGATGTAGGGCTCCCCACCCACTCTGCTCTCAATTCTGTTCACCTATTTCCACTCTCAGAGCTTTCGTATCTCTATCCCTGCTGTGCTGATTCAGATGCAGCGGCAGCGGCAGGAAATTCAAGCCGCGGTTTCCAGAGGTGCAGGTTCCAGCTTCGGCACTGACACTTTAGCTGTTCCAGTCATAGCACTGGGATTAAATTTCCAGTTGGTTTCTCTCAGCTTAGTTCATTCCTGGGTCGGCAGGATACATCTCCCCCTGCTTAGGACTCCCCACACCATACCATTCTGGAATGTAAGCTGGCTATCTCAGAGAGCCTCCATAGGTGCTGTTATCTATCCGCCATGTTCTCCCGAAGTTGACCAACTTCCTTCATTTGTAACATTAGTCAGTATTCAATGAGATGATGTCATGAAGTGAAAGATATGAATGTCACGTGACTAATGAGCACAGTGCTCAAAATATATCTTTAAAGAGGCCACTCACTGCTGGACTCTGTGAAAGCAGGTTCTCCAACTCTACCTCTCTCCCTGCTTCCTTCCCCCCAGCCACTAAGAATGACTGTGAAGGCCAGGCCCAGTGGGGCAGGCCTGTGGTCCCAGCACTCTAGGAGGCTAAGGCCTGAGGTCAAAAGTCTGACCCAGCCTGGGTAATTTAGCAATTTCAGGAAACCTTGTTCCTAAATAAAAAGACTGAGGATGTGGCTCAGTGCAGAAGCCCTCGGTTTAATCCCCAGTACCACAAAGGGCAATAAAAATGACTATAGAGCTTGTCTACATTGGCCAGTCAACAGTAAACCTTCAGATGCTCACAACTGTCATGGCCAGGCCAAGAACTCTATGAGTGTCAAATTAGTAGAAATCAGTTGGAGCTCTGTGTTCCAAAGGCCCACTGAAGATAGAAACCAACTCCAAAGTACAATCGAAGTACAAAATGCCAAATTGTTATGTCAGTTCCTAGTACAAGGGAACAAAAGCTGCATACAAAATTGTGTGCAAAGCTGAGTAGTTCTACCACTCATGAATGGTGTGCACCTGACCGAGTTAGCCATGGCTTCTGAGTCCAGCTTCCTCATCTTTGAATTAGGGGGAATAATAGTAATACTGCAAGAGTTGTTGGGAAAATGACACTAAAGTAACATATTTGCCACATGCTAAGTACCAGTTCAAGAGTGTTCAGCGTGTTATTTCATTAGCATATCTTCTTAATGTAGTGCCTGGAACTTAACAGACACCTGATAAATATAGCATTAAAGAAATGTGACAGGAAGAGGAAGAACTACTAAATTTCCAAGAGCAGAGACGTTGCCTTGTTGGAGAAGGAAGGTGAAGTAATTGCTGGATGTAACACCCAAATCTTTTAAGCTTTACACATTAAAGAGCCAAAGTGTGTCAGCTCAAAGGACAAACCTTGAGTTGATATTTTTATCTGTCACGTGTCTGCCTGTGAAGCTAGAAAGAACTGCCGAGGGTCCGGTACATACCGGCAGTGTATGCACTGAGATGAGAGAACATCAATACTTCAGCCGGGACAGACTTAGATTTCCCCCTGTTCTCTCTTAGATCAGTTGTTGACTGACCCTAGACAAGCCAGCATGTGAATATACTCTACATATGTCAGGGTCTTTCTACTGTATAAAGTCTTCTCAGTATGTAAAAGCATAGACCTTCATTTTAGAGACGGAGGCAGGTGGATTGCCTCAATTTCAAGGCCAGCTTGGGCTCCAAAGTGAGCTCAAGTCCAGGCTGGAATACTTACCAAGATCCTGGCTCAAAAATAATAAAAAACTAAATGGAGGATATTGTAATGTTAGAACTGATGAAGTGACTGAAAGAATTTTCAAAAAGCAGCCATCAGTGTGGACTTGTGGAATGCAGGAGAAATGCTTGAAAGTTGGGGGTGGGGGGAGCACACTTAACATTTAGGAATGTCAACCCTGCCAGTTTTTCATAATATATTTCAATCCTGATTTTTCTGAGGTAGCAAGGTTTCACAGTTAATAAAGGAAGATAAATGCTCTGCAGAGTGAGTGTGAAAGCAGGAAAGGTACAGTACACTACAGGGTGAGAGGAGCACTGTGACACAGCACAGCGGCTTCGTCATCTTGCAGATGTGAGTCTTTCTACCACTCAAAGAGTGGCACCTTACTACGAATTCTTGGCATATCTTTGAGGTGGATTTCAGATTCAAGTCAGACTGACACCAACACATTGCTAATTACTGTTTCAATTTTGTCAGTAATGCAGAGGCTCTATCAAAGAGATTTAACTACCTGGAGTATAATTCCCTGGAATCCAGGGATGAAACCAGACTTAGTGGGGCCTGAATCTTATGAAATTTGCAAAGTGCCTTTTAATGAAAAAGTATGCAAAATGTATGCATACAGAAATTTCCAGGACCCCGCTCAGGACATTGGAAGTGTCTTGTGCAAGTGAGGAGCCCCAGGGCTTCACCTCCACTCATCTCATGATAAATCCACCTTAGCTGAGGCATTTGTACAGCAGGGAAAAATACTTCAACTGATGAGTTCCAGACTGAACATGTTGGTCATAAAAGTATTGGCATCCTAGCTTGGCAACTTGGCTTTGAAAAGATATTCGGAGGCTGGGGATTTAGCTCAGCGGCATAAGCACCTGCCTTGCAAGCAGGCAGTCTTGGAGTTCGATCGCTGGTAGTGATAAAAATGAAAAAAAGAAAAAAAAAAAAAAAAGAGATGCAATAGGCTTCTGTCTCACTGTGGTGATGGTCAGCTAGCTTTGTCTCCTGGGAAACTTGAACCCAAAGCCCAGGTACCCAGTCTCAGACACACACTTGGTGGATTGTGACCATTATGTTGATCTTTTTACTTTGTCAGGAGAAACAGGGCCTTGATATACTGCCGCAGTTGGCCCCCAACTTCTGAGCTTAAATGATCCTCCTGCCTCAGCCTTTCTGAGTAGCTGGCACTACAGGTGCATGCTACAGTTGACTTACTGTGCAAATCTACTGAAGTAACTGTTAAGTAGTTTGAGAGGCAGGGTTCTATTCACAGGGAGTATGAGCATTAATGTCTAGCACCACTTAGCTCTCACTTTCTCATCTCCAGGAAGCAACTGCCTTTCTGTTAAGAAAAATCTTAACATCAGATGTCACAATTCGCTGTCTGCTTCATTATGAGTCTTTTCTAATGCACCACCTCTCCCCTACTTTCCTTCAAAAGCAAATCTTCAGTATCTCCCAAGCTGTGCATCGCCAGGTTGACAAGGGGAGTGAGGAGTTCACTCAGGTTGAGGATGCAGGTGAAATTAAACAGCTCCAGATGCATCCTAAACCTCCCTCCAGGGATTTAAAAATAAACTGTGTGAACCTGGACTGTGGACCCACAAGACAGGTGGGAAGTCTTTCCCAACTCAGGTGGGTATGGGAATTTTCATTTTGAGTCTAAAATCACCTTCAGGCTGTTAAATGTTAACTGAAAGAAATAAAGCCTGCACTTCTTATCAAAGGGAGGAGAGAAAACATACGGAATTAGACTAGAGAAATGTATTTTTATCGTTATTTTTCACACTACCTCTTAATACAAACATCTACCTGTTGGACATTTTGAAGGTTCTTATTGTACACAGATAATTCATAACTTCAGAAGTCAGTACTTTTTGAAAAATAACATTGTGGCTGGTTAGGGAGAGAAGTACCTGGTGGCAGGCTTTCAGGAATTTTTTTTACTTTCCTATTTAGTAGACACCGGCACTGAAAAAGTTTGGTACCTCTTACTTCTTGTAGAACCTTATATTAAACTTCATTCTTTGAAGTTCTCTAGTGTATATATTTGAATAGTTACAACTCTGAATATGAGAAGGAAGCAAGTGGAATTTCAAGGAACACTCACAGCATGCACAGCAGCCCTGAGCTCCAAATGATGCTAATTTGAGTGTTACTAGTGTGACAACTTGTATTGCTCATGCCAAAGACCAGTACCTGAAATTGCAGAGCAGGCTACCTATAAGTTATAGAAGTCAGCTTGCTCATCTCCAGGAAGCAATTGCTTTCTGGTAAGAAAAACCCACATGCCTGTAATCCCAGCACTCAGGAGACTGCGGCAGGACAAATGTAAGTTTGAGGCCAGCCTGGACTGCGTAGCAAGACCCTGTCATCAAAAATGTTGTATCAAATCCCTTGGCCTCTTTGCACCTTAGTTTCTTCATTTGAAAATAATGAATGGAGTCTTTGGCCATACCACTCTGGATACTTGTGGTCTCATCTAAAAGTAATTAGTTGATCTTATGACTTACTTTTTAGAGTTCTTAACAGGATCCAGCTAATGAATAAGTGTATGAAGCTGGTAAATAGATTTGGTTTTCATAGTTTTTGTTTTTACATGCGTTTATCATTTATTTCACTTACACTTGGTGTAAAAACTGCATTCCATGCCATGCTTGAAATGTTCCAAAGCTCACTTCTGTGATTAAATTGCAACGAAGATTTCTAGAAAAAGAAAAGACATAATTGAAAGAATAAAGAGGTTCTTTCTGAACATTTCTTATTTGGCAGTTATTCCAATTTATATATGATGAAACATCACTTGCAGTACTGTTTCCATACACTTAAGAAATCTCACTGGAAGATGCTGGCTTATAACTTACACTTTCCTATTTACATGTGAAATGCACTAGATATAAAAGAGTGAAAGCTTAATAAATTCCTGTGCTGAGCAATCTTTATTGCTCTTGAACAACACTTCGCAGGTTCCGCACTAGAGACATTTGGAGCTGGCTGATTCTTTGAATGTCTGACTGAACACAGTAGCATGGTTAACAGCATCCCTGATCTCTGCCCCCTTGATTCCAATAGCAATTGTCGCCTCCATGCAAAATCAAACCAACTGAGAATCATTGCTCTGTAGTGACTCTCTCTGACCTGTGCAATAATCTTTATAATATACTTTGGTAGAGGTTTAAAGGATTTCCAAATGAGTAGCAAAGAGACTTACAAGACTGTAAATATAATGAAGTTATATTTTCAACTTACAAGAACTGTAAAAAAAGTAGTGCTTCAAATGTATTTCTTTCAATAAACTGTATTTTATTGCACGATAAATCTCTGGAATAAGGAAAAGGAAAACATTGATTAAATAACTAATAAGTATCTAAGTGGTATGAATATTAGACTTTAGAATTGGCAATATTGCAAACTTTTTTTGTCAAAATCTTGGGCTTGTATGTGAACATTTTATACCCTATGCCCTGTCTCTAATTCCTCTAGGACTCTCACCTTCGAGATATTTGTAAATAAAATATACAATTGTTATATTATTTTTTGTTTGTTATTTTTCAGTTCTAAATTAGGTAGTCCTGGCTGGCCTTGAACTTACTGTGTAGCCCTGGCTGGTCTCAGACTCACCATGCTCTTGTCTCCTCCTCCTAAGTGCTAAGACTGCAGGTGTACTACTTAATTGCTTTTATTTCTTCCCCTCATTTTGTGACAGAGCTTTGCTGTGCCATTCAGGCTGGCCCTGAACTCACTTTGTCGTCCAGGCAAGCCTCAGACTTGCAGCAATCCTCCTTCCTCACTCTTTTGAGTGCTAGGATTACACGTGTGCACCATGAAGTCTAGCTCTCAATTTCTTTCTTGTTTATTTTAAAGAGAATAAAACAAAACAGAAGAAAGCAAATAAGAACAGAACAGTGCAAGGCATAAAGGACTTCTAAACAAGACATTGGGAAATTACTGATGTCTACGATAATGTCTCCATTTTGTTCAAAATAGCTTGTGCTTATCATTACATGCAATAAAATCAAACAAAAGAAAACAGAACAAAACCAATCAAAATAAAAGAATGAAAGACTTCAAGGTAATAGGAAATCAACAATGGCTTCCATAATGTATTATTTTTTAAAAAATCATCATCCAATCAAAACAAAAGAATAAAAGCATTATAGAACTTCAAAACAAGATAATAGGAAACCAGCAATGGTTCCTGCAATACATCCTGTGACCTTCAAAATAGCTGCCCATATCATCAGGCACAGTAAGATGTAACAAGGCAGAACAAAAATCAAATCTAAGAAAAATTTGAAAATTATACAAGAATTCAAACCAGGATCATCAGAAATTAACAGTTATTACTACTTTCCTTTTTTAGGCATTTTCTCCACCGTTAGTGTCATAATATCTAATGTGCCGTTTGGATCCCACTAACTCCTTCAGTTTTTTGTGCTAGGAGATAACTTGGTTTTCACTTGTATGGGTCCAAACCATTTCACCCATGAACATGATCTCAGTTGCAACCATTTCCCTACAAGAGCCTCAAGATTATCCTACTTTATAGCTAGGCAGCTTTCTATTGTATGAATATACCATATCTTTCTTACCCATTCTGCCATTCATGGGCAAGTTACTCTTGCTTTTTTGTGGTCTCTTGTCACATGGAACAATTGTTTTCTTTCCTTTGATTTTTAGTCTATGAATACAAGCGTGCCACAGGTTTGCCACCAATGCCTTAGGGCCTCCAAAGTTTCATAATTCCAGAGACTTTTTGGTTCCATGTAATAAAAATACTTTATGCCTACTTTCTTCAAGCCTTCTACATTTGAAAAAAGGCGCTATTTGTCAAAATACCACAAATTAGTTTAATTACCTTTAATGATATTTACACTTCTGGACCTACTGGACCAGAAACCAAACCAAACCAAACACAAAACAACAAAACAAAACAAAACAAAAATCAAGCTTTCACACCAAAGAACACAGTATCTTACTTTCTGTAAACAGATAAAAGCACTATGCAAGTATTTCCTCCTTGACAACAAGGCTGCAGAGATGTTCTTGTTTCAGTGAAGATGGAGTATTTTCTATGCCGAGGGAAACATTTACAGCGATAGCATTTTTTTGTCTTTTTTTTTTTTTTTTTTTTTTTTTTTTTTGAGACAGGGTCATGCCATGCAGTTCAAGCTGGCTTTGGGCTCACTTTGTATCCCAGGCTGGTCTTGAACTTGCAATGATCCTCCTGTGTCAGCCTCCCAAATGCTGGGATTTCAGGAGTGCACCACCACACTAATACCATTTAATCACCATTTTAAACACTTGTTTTTAAGATTGGTATAACAATTCCAGCACTGAAGTGCAGGCAGTCAAGTCTTCTAGTAGCTTAACCATCTGGATAATATTACATTTTACCTCCTAGTTAATCATTTAATACTTTAAAGACTTGTTTAATACTTTAGGTGTTACTTTCATTCGGATTCAATCGTCTAAGCACCCCGGGTTAATGGCGCTCCAGTTAGCACAGGCGGTCTATTCAGTACGTTTTGGTCCTCTAGGCAGCACTGTAAAGTTAACTTTAATTCTTTTGTTCTGATTCAAATTTTTCAAACCTTTATTGTAAACACCATATAGCAAGTACTTACAGACTTTGCAGGTCAGATACAGTCTCTATTGTATATATTCGTGAGAGGTTTGTTTCTTATTTGTACTGGGAATTGAACTCTCAAATTTACAACCTCACACTTGCCAGGCAGGCGCTGTACTACTCGCTGTATCCCCACCCTCCTTTTTTTTAAACACTTAAAAATGAAAACATGACAAAAACATAATGAATTTATGCAATAAATAAAAAAGACTGTGGGTCAATTGGATCGATGGCCTATATGGTAAATACAAATACAAGCCAATGGCACATAAGCACTAATAAACCAAGGTTCATATTATAACACAATTAAGTGCTCAGATCTTATTACCACTTTTCCTGTGTAAGTTGGGTTTTTCCCATTTGTATATTATGATTTAAAAAGTGAAAATGTGCATAGCGTATTTGATGATAGACATAGACTGAGACCTATACAAACTTGCACCCTTACAGCGTTTTATTTCTGGAAGAGATTTTGGAGAATATATAATTAGAACTGCCTCCTCATTTTACAGATAACTCTAAACTCAAATAAATATGATTAACTAACTTACAAATACTGGAGGTTTAGCAGGCCTTCAAAGGAATCCTTACGTAGTTCGGTGATGTAATTTTCACTGAGATTTCTGGAAGATGAAAAGGTTATATTTGTATCACACTTCCTCAGAAACCTGAAGGATATGCAGTGATGAAAAAGCATGAGGAAATGAGCACTGTCAGGTCCTGCTACGTGGAGTGTACCTGGAGCAATTAAAGTCTCATATCTAAAACAAGCTCATGCCAACAGTCCCCTTTGTAGGCACTTGTTCTACAGAAATATTTGCCCGTGTTCACAAAGAATCATCAACAAGTGTTCATTATGTGGTACAGGTAACAAGAACGCTGAAGAGGACTGGGGATATAGCTCAATGGCATAAGCATCTGCCTGGCAGGTGCAAGGTCCTGAGTTCAATTCCAGGTGCCAAAAGAAGAGACAACAAAAAGAAACCTGGAGAGACACCTCCCAAATAAGAGACCTGACCAAAAAATGGGCAACTAAAATGAATAGACACGTCTCAGAAGAGAAGTATGAACAGCTGATAAATACTTGAAAAAATGCTCAATAACTATGGCCATTAGAGTGTTGTAAAATAATAAAATTTCATCTTATCCCACAAAGAGTGGTTACCAGCAGGAAGACAAACAAGAAAAAATGGTAGTGAGGTTATAGGGAAAAAAAAACACTTCTAAACTAGTATAATCACTATGGGTATCAGTGTGTAGTTGCCTCTAAAAACAACTAGAAATTCCACTTGACCCAGTTATTCCCCGTCTAGGTATTTTCCCAGAAGAATTAAAGGCATCATGTTACATTAATGAATTCATAGTCATGTTTGTAGCAGCACAATTCATAATAGCTAAACCTTGGAAGGGGCCGCTATGTGTATTGACAGATAATAGATAAAAACAATGTATTTACACACAGTGCAGTACTCTGCCATAAAGAGAAAGAAACTCCAGCCTTTTGAAGAAATGAAACACACATTTAACTATCTCAAAGGTTCTCTTATTTGAGAAACTCAAAGTCTAAATAAAGAGCAAAGTTAAAGATAATAGGAAGAAGGGGGATAGATCTCAGAAAGCAGATGATTAAGAGATGGAGGTAAGGGACATGGAGAACTGGGGATGAGAAAAAGAATTGAGATGTATGGTATCATGTACATGTGCCAATTGCCCATGAGGACTGTAATCATCATATACTGCAGTGCACTAATTTTAAAAAATGAAAAAATTCTGGATATACTCAAAACATGCATCAATAGGGATATTATTTAATACACCATGACACCCAGGCATGGTGGTGCACCTCTAATCCCAGCACTTGGGAGACTGAGGCAGGAAGATGAGCTACATATGTGAATTCAAGATTATCTTGTACTACGTAGCAAGACCCTGTCTCAAAAAACAAACAACCCTAAATTAAGACAAAATGAATATATCATGAGAGCTGGGGTGGTGCATGCCTGTTATCCCAGCCCTCAAGAAGTTGAGGAAGCAGAACCGCCATGAGATCAAGGCCAGCTTGCACTATATGGTGAGACTCATTTCAAAACAAACAAAAATACACACTATGGAATATTGTGGGAGCGTAAGTAAGTGGGTAACCCACTATCTGTGGGGTAGGAGAGAACTCGTGTATCAAAAGTGAGAGACTCATGTTGCAGGATAGTACTGTTTAGGTAAAAAAAAAGACAGCCACCTGACAACGCTATTTCACTGTAGTCAGTATGTGTGTAGGCAAATGCATGGGAAACATCAGGAAAGATACATATCAGACCAAAACTAGTGGTTACCTCACTGATGGATCATTAGAGCATACGGAAGTTCTTTATTTACCTTTCATTTTATTTTTATTCATTAAGAATGTAATCACATTCTCCTTGTATAAAAAAATTTCAATTGTTTCTTTCCATGAGGATCTATGAAGGCTGGGAATTTAGCTCAGCGGCATGAGCACCTGCCTGGTGATTGTAAGGTTATGAGTTCGATCCCCGGTACCAAAATACACAAAACAAAAAGATAAAAAAAAAAAAAAAAGAAGAAGATAGAAAGAATAAAGAAATTGCTCACCACCAAGAAGGTCTATGAAATTTAATTGTCCTTGTCTTTGCCCCTCCCCTCCCTTTAATCTGGTGCTCAGATTTGAACCCATGGACTCACACCCTGCTAAGGAGCTGTTTAACCACTGAGCTACCCTCCCAATCCATGTGAAGGTTTATCTTTATCCATATAGTTTCAATTTCAATCAAGTGAGCTTAATCTGACATAAGATTGGGAAATACCTTTCCTCAGAAGTGTTGACCTCAATATTGTGAACTAAGGAGAATCTTAGTTTTTGTTTGAAGATTTTGTATTCATATATGAACAGAATATACTCACAGTTTCTCAACCCAACGGTATGTTGCCCACGCCCTTTCTTGAATGGTATAAATAGAGTTTCCTTGAAAATTTCTGTGAAGAAACAGTTTATTTCTTTGAATAACTGGGAAAGGAATGAGCAGAAAAAGTAAAAGAATCCTGAAAGTCTCCAGGATATTCAAACACAGAGACAAAAACAGCTTTTCATTTCTATAACTAATAGCTCCCCAGTTTGCACAAGACAGTCAGACTATGGAGCAGCCAGCACAAATGATGAGACTTCTGCTCAGCAGCTCAGCTTCCTATCTGTCTAGTCTCCTGGATTAATGATGTGGGTCACTTAGTTTTAATTTAAGTGTTTTTCCCAAAATCACTTGGGTACAAGATGACTCCTACAAATCAATAAGTAAATGAAAAATCATTCAACAGAAAAATGGGCCAAAATGCATCATTATTAGTGAGTAAGAATAAAGAAAGCCTCTGCCAGCTGGCGCCAAAGCTTTGGCTCGGTACCCTTTGTGGAAGCTCTGCAGGCAGTGGAAGGATAAGGGCAAGAGCAGCAGAGAGGAACTAACTTGCTGATGTGGAAAACCGCTTGGACTTGATGCACAGGGAAGAACAGGAACCACCAGGCAAGGAGTAAACCATCACCTGGTCAGGGCAAAAATTGCAAAGGAGAAGGAGGAACCCACACAAAACTGGCACCAGGGCTTATCTCCTGTGTGACAGGGTGAGGGAGACAGGTGGTCAAGCATATAAGGGTATGGATCTCCTATTATTCCATATACACCTCTGACTCCTTTTTAAAGGAGGTCTATTGTGCATTGACAAGAAGTTATTAGGTCAGGAGTAGGGGAGCACGCCTGTGATCACAGCACTCAGGAAGCTGAGGCATGAAGATACCAATGAGCTTGAGGCCAGCCTGCCTCGAACCAGGGTTCAGTTCCAATTTTGCGGAAACTCATTCTTTATCCGTCAGCAACAACTTTCCTGCTCAGTTTGCATACACTTTTCCTGAGGATGGCGGGAAAGCAATCAGTCTGCTCATGCGCCTAGTGAACATTTCCATGTGACCAGATGCATTCTCATTGCTCTGCGCTCACCACGGCCTCAAACAGAACTTGTGCCCCTCAAGCTGGCTCTCCTCCCTGCTTGGGGCTGCCACCTGTGACGCTTCCACCACTCTCAGCTCCATACCTCATGGAGACGGGAGCTCACTGGAGTTTGCACTTCTCTGTTCACCTGCCCCCAGCTGTTTACTGGCCACTTGGTCATGCAGTGTTCCAGTGTTCACCCACTCTCACACCAGCACCCTGCTCAGCCACTTGTCACTTATCCCCAGGCGCCTAGAGCTTCTAGGCCTCCCTGAATTCAGCCTTCCCTTCCAGATGCCTCCACATGTGGAGTCTAAGAGAATCCTCTTCTTTCAATCACTTTGTTCTCTGGCTTGAAAACTCTGTCTGTCTGTCTGTTGGTCCCTGTCTCCATCTGTCTCTCTAAAAATGCTAAAATTGATATTCAGTGTTCATAATTTGAAATAATACCTCACTGCTTGATAATCCTGTTCTTGCCAGGCAGACTGGCCTGTTCAGCCATGTTCATTCCTGCTGCCATGCCTTTGGGCTGGCCTTCCTGTGTGTCCTCTGCTTGACAATTGCAGGTGCTCTAAGCACCAGCTAAGGTTTGAGCTCCCCCATGCAGTGTTCCCTAACCTTCAAATCTTGTGACTCCAGATTCTGGAGAATGATTGCACCTAAAATCTACATCCATTCCTTCCCGCCAGACCAGCTCCCCTAAGGCTCTTCCCCGCCCTTCTATCATTTCATGTTCTCGAAAAAGCATAACACTTCTATAGCTCTCCATGTACTTAGCCCTGCAGGGTTGAGCACAAACTAGATACTGTATATACAAATCAAGGGGCAAAAGTGAGTTCTGCACATAATTCAGGGCCTGAGGTATGATAACAGCTAATATTCATACATATGGGGGTGCTGTTATTTGTGTCACAGTGTTTTCTGTCACAGTCCTGTGAAACAGTAAACATTTCTCCTTCCCCAGATGAGGGAAGTGATTCACAGACTAACTAACTTGCAAAATGTTACAAAGCTAATGAAAAAGAGATCTGGGTTAAAATTCAGGCTGTCTGAGTCAGGTATACTCTATTCCTTTTTTTTTTGGTGTCCGTAATCAAACTCATGATGTAGTGCTTACCAGGCTCATGCCACTGAGCTAAATCCCCAGCTCACTATTCCTTTTTTTTTAAGGGTTGAGGGATACTAGGAATGAAACCTGGGCCCTGAGTGTACAAGACAGGCAGTGTACCCCTGAGCTACACCTCCAGGCCTATAATCTACTCATGGCCACATTGCTGTATCATCACTATGGAAATGAGTTGTAAAAAGGGTGGAGCAAAAAGAGAGTAAGGATTAAGTGGTGGGATGGAGATAAATTTTATAAAAAATAAGTAAAGTGCAACCCATTTGGGACCCCACCTGTCTCTCAGGAGCTATTCCTAGTCACCACTCCTTTTCCCCAGTAAATTTTCTTACTCTTAACCTCCATTGTTCCTTAGGACTCACTCTTCATCTTCAGCGAAAATGAACTCAGGGTGTCTGACTTCCAGTAGGTTGGGTATTGCCAATTTTTTTTTACCTGTTTTGTCATAGCCTGGGCAATGCAGGTGACAGTGGACACAGTGCTGTCAATCCATTTGCTCCTCTTAGCTGACTTGCAGGTGCTTAGTGAAACTTTTATTTCCCCTTATTTAATGCCTTGAAGGCAGGGTTACAATTTTTAGCCAAGCTTGGGTAATTCAGGAAGACCCTGTCTCAAAATATATAATGAAAAAAAACAGGAGAAAGGGAAAGAGGGCACAAGTAGTACAAAAGAGAGTAGAATAAGGAAAATTGGGAAAGAAGAAGATAAAAGCAGAAAATCAGTTTGAACAGGGGACGTGAGGACAGCCTAGGAAGGCCTTGAAGAAAGGGCTGTCACCTCAGGCACACTGCAGACAACAAATGAAGAAAACTGATCCTTACAAGACTGTGAAGGAGTTGAGCTCTAGGACAGGTACTTGGTGCAGCCTTTGCTTTGAGCTGAGACCCGTACATGACAGGGTCTGGTTTTCACAGGTGCAGAGCTCACATATGTTGATATTGGTGGTGGTGTCCCGCACCATTTGTAAAGAGTAACGATTTGTGTTGTGTTCCACATTCAGGGATTGAACTGTGACGGAGGTCAAGTTTGGATGTGAAGCTGTCAACACAGGCTTCGCCAGAGCAGTAGTAGAATCCTTATGCTGGGCCAGAGAAGGTTCAGCCTTTGTAGTGAGTGCTGCACTTGTGGTGAGTGCTACTTCCAGTGGTTGGTTGGTTCCATTAGGTGATGTTGGAGTATGAGCTAGATCCTGACCTGGTGGTGTTGATGTTGTCATTTTAGGTGTGATTGATTTATACCTTGAGGGTTTATTTACAGCCTTTTTACATGGCTCTGGAGATTGAGAGAGCATCTTCTGAAAATTTTGGGTGAGTTGAGTTCCTGAAGTAGGTAGAAGAGTTTTGGAATTGTCCGGGTGCACAAATGGAGTGGTGACAAGAAGCTGGGTTGGTTGCTGAGACTGCACCTGCTCCGAATGTGTCACCTCAAGATGTGTCAGAGGAGGAACTATAACTTCCTGCAGGGTCACAGAATATCCAGCTTCCGTAATGGCTTTTGCACTCATGGTAGCAGTAGGTAGAGGAGTTTTGGGATGGTCCAGGTTCACAAGTAGAGTGGTGACAGGAAGCTGGGTTGGTTGCTGAGACTGCACCTGCTCTGAATGTGTTACCTCAAGATGTGTCAGAGGAGGAACTATAACTTCCTGCAGGGTCACAGAATATCCAGCTTCTGTAATGGCTTTTGCACTCATGGTAGCAGTCGTATACATTGTTTGTACCACACCATTGGGTGATGTTGGACTCTGAGTTGTGTGCTGACCTGGTGGAGTTTGATCTCTCATTTCAGATTTTATCAAGTGTTGAGCTACAACCTTGATAGATGGTTCTGCAAGGTGAGAGCGGCTCTCCTGCATCACTGAAGGAAGTTTAGTTCCTGTAGCAGGTGGTGGAGTCATGAAACGTTCCGCATCCAAAAGTGGAACTGTCACAGGAGTCAAGTTTGGATGCTGATCCTCCAACTGGCCTGAATGTGCAAGAGTCACCTTAGGGTTCTTCTGAGGAGGAGCTGCAACATCCTGCAGTGCCATGGAATGTTCAGCCTCTATAGTAAGTTCAGGATGTATACTATGACCCATATCCAGTGGTTGATCCATGACAGTGGTCAATGTTGGAGACTGAGCTGCACCCTGGTCTGGTAGTGATGGATTTGTTGTGTCTGATGACACTCTGCTTTGACGTAAAGCCTCCACAAATGACTTTAGAGGCTGAGATGGGGTCTCTGACAAAGTTGGGGAAAATTGAACCTCTGAAGTAGGTGGAGAAGTTCTGATATGTTCTACATTCAAAGCCTGAATCATGACAGGAGTCAGGTTTGGTTGCTCAGCTCCTACCTGCCCTGGAAGTGTGAGAATCACCCCAGGATGCTTCAGAGGAAAAGCTGTAACCTCCTGCCGTTCCATAGAATCTTCAGCCTTTGTAGTGGCTTTTGTACTCATCAGGGTAGCCATATGCATTATTGGTACCATGCCACTGGGCAATGATAGACTCTGAGCTGTATCCTGAGCCAGTGATGTTGGGTTTGTCATTTCAGGTGTTACTGTGTGTTGGTCTACAGCCTCCATAAGTGGCTGTGGAGGCTGAGAGGGGCTCTCCTTCCAGTTTTGGTTGAGTGGAGTCCCTAAAGTAGGCAAAGAAGTTTCAGGATAGACTAGGTTCACAGGTTGAATGCTGAAATGATGCAGGGTTGGTCGCTGAGCCTGCACCTGCTTTGAATGTGTGAGTGTCACATCAGAATGCTTCACAGGAGAAGCTGTAATATCCTGCAGAACTACAGAATGTTCATCCTCTGTGGTGGCTTTAGCATTTTTGAGAGGGCCCATGTCCATGGGTTGTACCATAACACTGGGTGATGTTGAAAACTCACCCAGTGGTGTTGGA